AGGCAGCAGCAGCAGCAGGCAGCAGCAGGCAGCAGCACCAGCACCAGCAGGCAGCAGCACCAGCTCACAGCAGGCAGCAGCACCAGCTCACACCAGGCAGCAGCACCAGCACCACAGCAGGCAGCAGCAGCAGCAGGCAGCAGCACCAGCACCAGCAGCACCAGCAGCAGCAGCAGGCAGCAGCAGCAGGCAGCACCAGCAGTAGCAGCAGCAGGCAGCACCAGCAGCAGGCAGCAGCACCAGCAGCAGCAGCAGGCAGCAGGCAGCAGCAGCAGCAGGCAGCAGCACCCAGCAGCAGGCAGCAGGCAGCACCAGCAGCAGCAGCACCAGCAGCAGCAGCAGGCAGCAGCACACCAGGGATCCCAGGAGAGCCAACAGCAGCACACCAGGGAGCCCAGGAGAGCCAACAGCAGCACACCAGGGAGCCCAGGAGAGCCAACAGCAGCACACCAGGGAGCCCAGGAGAGTCAACAGCAGCACACCAGGGAGCCCAGGAGAGCCAACAGCAGCACACCAGGGAGCCCAGGAGAGCCAACAGCAGCACACCAGGGAGCCCAGGAGAGCCAACAGCAGCACACCAGGGAGCCCAGGAGAGCCACCCTCGAGACCTTCAATAAAGCACCACCAAAATTTACCATAAAAATCGCGACATGAACAAAAAATATTCCCTGAAAATGTTGTGGTGGTGGTGGACTGTACTCACCTAGTTGTGCTTGCGGGGGTTGAGCTCTGGCTCTTTGGTCCCGCCTCTCTACCGTCAGTCAACAGGTGTACAGACTGAGCTACTGGGCTCTATCATATCTACACTTGAAACTGTATATGGAGTCAGCCTCCACCACATCACTGCCTAATGTCCACCACTCTGACAGTAAAAAAGTTTTTTCTAATATCTCTGTGGCTCATTTGTGCACTCAGTTTCCACCTGTGTCCCCTAGTGCGTGTGCCCATTGTGTTAAATAGCCTGTCTTTATCTACCCTATCAATTCCTTTGAGAATCTTGAATGTGGTGATCATGTGTCCTCTAACTTTTGTGTCTTCTAGCGAAGTGAGGTTTAATTCCCGTAGTCTCTCCTCGTAGCAACCAACCACTGTGGCTGGTTGGTTGGTTGTGGTGGTGGACTCACAGTGCCTAAAGAGTGAAGTAGGAGCAGAGCGTCCTCAACATGAGCAGAGCGTCCTCAACATGAGCAGAGCGTCCTCAACATGAGCAGAGCGTCCTCAACATGAGCAGAGCGTCCTCAACATGAGCAGAGCGTCCTCAACAGGAGCAGAGCGTCCTCAACATGAGCAGAGCGTCCTCAACAGGAGCAGAGCGTCCTCAGCAGGAGCAGAGCGTCCTCAACAGGAGCAGAGCGTCCTCAGCAGGAGCAGAGCGTCCTCAACAGGAGCAGAGCGTCCTCAGCAGGAGCAGAGCGTCCTCAACAGGAGCAGAGCGTCCTCAGCAGGAGCAGAGCGTCCTCAACAGGAGCAGAGCGTCCTCAGCAGGAGCAGAGCGTCCTCAACAGGAGCAGAGCGTCCTCAACAGGAGCAGAGCGTCCTCAGCAGGAGCAGAGCGTCCTCAACAGGAGCAGAGCGTCCTCAGCAGGAGCAGAGCGTCCTCAACAGGAGCAGAGCGTCCTCAGCAGGAGCAGAGCGTCCTCAACAGGAGCAGAGCGTCCTCAGCAGCAGCAGAGCGTCCTCAACAGGAACAGAGCGTCCTCAACAGGAGCAGAGCGTCCTCAGCAGCAGCACAGTGTCCTCAGCAGGAGCAGAGCGCCCTCAGCAGGAGCAGAGCGTCCTCAGCAGGAGCAGAGCGTCCTCAGCAGGAGCAGAGCGTCCTCAACAGGAGCAGAGCGTCCTCAACAGGAGCAGAGCGTCCTCAGCAGGAGCAGCAGCGTCCTCAACAGGAGCAGAGCGTCCTCAACAGGAGCAGAGCGTCCTCAACAGGAGCAGAGCGTCCTCAGCAGGAGCAGCAGCGTCCTCAACAGGAGCAGAGCGTCCTCAACAGGAGCAGAGCGTCCTCAGCAGGAGCAGAGCGTCCTCAGCAGCAGCAGAGCGTCCTCAGCAGGAGCAGAGCGTCCTCAGCAGCAGCACAGTGTCCTCAGCAGGAGCAGAGCGTCCTCAGCAGGAGCAGAGCGTCCTCAGCAGGAGCAGAGCGTCCTCAGCAGGAGCAGAGCGTCCTCAGCAGCAGCAGAGCGTCCTCAGCAGGAGCAGAGCGTCCTCAGCAGCAGCAGAGCGTCCTCAGCAGGAGCAGAGCGTCCTCAGTAGCAGCAGCACAGTGTCCTCATCAGGAGCAGAGCGTCCTCAGCAGGAGCAGAGCGTCCTCAGCAGGAGCAGAGTGTCCTCAGCAGGAGCAGAGCGTCCTCAGCAGGAGCAGAGCGTCCTCAGCAGGAGCAGAGTGTCCTCAGCAGGAGCAGAGCGTCCTCAGCAGGAGCAGAGAGTCAGCAGAAACAGACCAACTAGTTTACATCACAATTCAGTGGGGCTCCAATCCCGTAAATCCCACAGAGACCGGCCTTAAAGGCTCCACTTGTAAAAAGTCTGATGAATTTCCGCAAGAACAAGTGTGTGTGTGTGTGTGTGTGTGTGTGTGTGTATGTGTGTGTGTGTGTGTGTGTGTGTGTGTGTGTGTGTGTGTGTGTGTGTGTGTGTGTGTGTGTGTGTGTGTGTGTGTACTCACCTATTTGTACTCACCTATTTGTGCTTGCAGGATCGAGCATTGACTCTGGGATCCCGCCTTTCCAGCAATCGGTTGTTTACAGCAATGACTCCTGTCCCATTTCCCTATCATACCTAGTTTTAAAAGTATGAATAGTATTTGCTTCGACAACCTGTTCCCCAAGTGCATTCCATTTTTCCACTACTCTCACGCTAAAAGAAAATTTCCTAACATCTCTGTGACTCATCTGAGTTTCCAGTTTCCACCCATGTCCCCTCGTTCTGTTATTATTACGTGTGAACATTTCATCTATTTCCACTTTGTCAATTCCCCTGAGTATTTTATGTGTCCCTATCATATCCCCTCTCTCCCTTCTTTTCTCTAGTGTCGTAAGGTTCAGTTCCTTCACACGCTCTTCATATCCCATCCCTCGTAACTCTGGGACAAGCCTCGTCGCAAACCTCTGAACCTTCTCCAGTTTCTTTATGTGTTTCTTCAGGTGGGGGCTCCATGATGGCGCGGCATACTCTAAGACTGGCCTCACGTAGGCAGTGTAAAGCGCCCTTAAAGCCTCCTCATTTAGGTTTCTGAATGAAGTTCTAATTTTCGCCAGTGTAGAGTACGCTGCTGTCGTTATCCTATTTATATGTGCCTCAGGAGTTAGATTAGGTGTCACATCCACTCCCAGGTCTCTTTCTCGAATCGTTACAGGAAGGCTGTTCCCCTTCATTGTGTACTGTCCCTTTGGTCTCCTATCACCTGATCCCATTTCCATAACTTTACATTTACTGGTGTTAAACTCCAGTAGCCATTTCCCTGACCATCTCTGCAATCTGTTTAAGTCCTCTTGGAGGATCCTACAATCCTCGTCTGTCACAACTCTTCTCATTAATTTTGCGTCATTCGCAAACATTGACATGTATGATTCCACTCCTGTAAACATATCATTTACGTAAATTAGAAAGAGGATTGGTCCCAGCACCGATCCATGAGGTACTCCACTTGTTACTGTTCGCCAGTCCGACTTCTCGCCCCTTACCATTACCCTCTGGCTCCTTCCTGTTAGGTAGTTCTTCACCCATACTAGGGCCTTTTCGCTTACTCCTGCCTGCCTCTCAAGTTTGTATAGCAGTTTCATGTGCGGTACTGTATCAAAGGCCTTTTGGCAGTCAAGAAATATGCAGTCTGCCCAGCCTTCTCTGTCCTGCCTTATCCTTGTTACTTTATCATAGAATTCTAAAAGGTTTGTTGTGATTTCCCTGTCCAGAACCCATGTTGGTGCTTGTGCTCTGTGTGTCTTAGCCTAATTATTCTTTGTATTTTGCAGGGGATGTGTCAGTGATACGGGTTTGTGTGCTGTATGGTGTCGAGCTGTAGTGTGTGTGTGTGTGTGTGTGTGTGTGTGTGTGTGTGTGTGTGTGTGTGTGTGTGTGTGTGTACTCACCTAGTTGTGTCTGCAGGATCGAGCATTGACTCTTGGATCCCGCCTTTCGAGCATCGGTTGTTTACAGCAATGACTCCTGTCCCATTTCCCTATCATACCTAGTTTTAAAATTATGAATAGTATTTGCTTCCACAACCTGTTCCTGAAGTGCATTCCATTTTTCCACTACTCTCACGCTAAAAGAAAACTTCCTAACATCTCTGTGACTCATCTGAGTTTCAAGCTTCCATCCATGTCCCCTCGTTCTGTTACTATTCCGTGTGAACATTTCGTCTATGTCCACTCTGTCAATCCCTCTGAGTATTTTATACGTTCCTATCATGTCCCCCCTCTCCCTTCTTCTTTCTAGTGTCGTAAGGCACAGTTCCCTCAGGCGCTCCTCATACCCCATCCCTCGTAGCTCTGGGACGAGTCTCGTTGCAAACCTCTGAACCTTTTCCAGTTTCATTATATGCTTCTTCAGATGGGGACTCCATGATGAGGCGGCATACTCTAAGACTGGCCTTACGTAGGCAGTGTAAAGCGCCCTAAATGCCTCCTTACTTAGGTTTCTGAATGATGTTCTAACTTTTGCCAGTGTAGAGTACACTGCTGTCGTTATCCTATTTATATGTGCCTCAGGAGATAGATTAGGTGTCACATCCACACCCAGGTCTCTTTCGCGCGTCGTCACAGGTAGGCTGTGTGTGTGTGTGTGTGTGTGTGTGTGTGTGTGTGTGTGTGTGTGTGTGTGTGTGTGTGTGTGTGTGTGTGTGTGTGTGTACTCACCTAGTTGAGCTTGATGGGTTGAGTATCTGCTCCTAAGCTCCCGCCTATCGACCATTATTAGTTCAATACAGTAACACTTTTCCAATCGTTATTCTTATCATATTTACATTTAAAGTTGTGTATCACACTGGCTTCGACAACTTGCTCATCTGGTCCGGTCCACTTATTTACGGCTCTAAGCCTGAACAAGTTCTTTCTGAGATGTCTGTGACTCATCTGTGTTTCCAGCTTCTGTATCTAATTTGCTAATCCAAGTTAATATCTTCCACGTCGTTGTTATGTCTACTGTATTCCTTCTTTCCTCCAGTTTAGTGAAGTCAAGTTCCGTCAGTCTTTCTTCCTTGCTCACTCCCCTTACTTCAGGAACGAGCCTTGTTCCATGTTTGCTACCCATTTTAGTAAAGAAAAATAAGTGTTTTCCTTACATTTCTTTGGCTCACGAGGACCAGGGCTCATCAAGCACGTAATTTTCCATTTACGAAACCTGTTTATCTTTTCTTATTCACGATAGTTTAGTTTGCACTTACTAAAGCGCTTACGAGCTCGGGAGCGCTACGAGGTTTTCCATAACAACAATACTCTGGGGTGGAGAGCGGCCTCGCAGCTTTCCCAGCTCGTAACCTCATGATACACACTACAATGCACTACAATACAATACACTACAATACAATACACTACAATACAATGCACTACAATACACACTAAGACGCTATGGTCGGACAGATTGATTGACTGATAAAGATTAAGCCATCCTAAAGGTGGCACGGGCATGAATAACCCGTAAGTTGAGGCACTATCCGAGCCATTACCAGTACCGATAACTGATACTATAGAGATCTGGGGGTGGAGAGGGATCTTCATGGTGGATTTCAGCCTGGGAGGGCTGGTTGTACCAGTCATGGTACAGGGTGGGGTTAGGTGGGTTTCAGGGTGGCTTTCTAGGTGGGTTAGTGTAGACCTCCAGGTCTTCCGTTTTTTCTTTGGCTGAGACTTGCTGCGACTTGACACGGCCGTGATGTCGTTGGAGGTTGGTGAGGCGGCCTCCATGAAGAGCTCTTGTACCGAGTAGGTGTGGTACTTGTGGTGCGGCGGTGGAGCTCCTACTGAGATTTCCTCGTTTGAGGAGTCCGTAGTTGGTGGTTTTGTCTTTGGTCTCGCAGCCTGAGGTAGGCTCAGGCGTCGTGAATTAGTGGAAGAAGCTATTTCAGGAGCGTTGGTGATGCTGTTAGTATTTGTAGACATCATGTCTGCTGAAATGGTGATGGTAGAAGTGGTGGGAACTGGCGAGGGAAATACCTCTGTGCCGCCGGGGTCTTGGGTGGTTCTGGAGTCTGTGTTGAGGTCGACCTCGTGGTCGTCCTGGTGGTAGTCTCCGGAGTGGTAGTGGAGGCAGTGAGACTTGCGTCTAGGCCGTTGATTAGGTACAATGCGTTGAGGGACTTGATGGTACGTTGATTGTCTGGTCCAGCAAGCCTCTCCGCTAGTCGAATACGACCAAGGTGCTGGTCTTGATGATGATGCAAGGGAATGTGAGGGTGCTGGCTGGTCCTTAGGTCCCCCAGTGTGGAGGCCAGGTGGGCTGTTAATTGGGAGGAGCCACTGTATGGTAGGACTGGGAAGTCTTCTGGTAGGTTGGTGGGACCTCAGGTGCTGGGTTTGGTGCCAGTAGCTCCGGCGGCAGAAGTAGAAGGTTTGACTTTATTGGATTCAGTCTGGATCCTAATGATTTCCTGTCTGAGAGGGCAGCAGTGGGAAGATTTAGGGTGATCGTAGCGGCAGAGCAGTCAGCAATGGGTCTTTGACTTGCAGATGGAGTAATGATGGTCCTGGACGCAAAGGCTGCACTTCTGGACGGGGTGCTGACACTTGTTGGTGGGGTGGGAGTAATCGTAGCACAGAAAGCACTGTTGGAGCTCGTGGAATCGTTCCTTCTTCACTAGGAAGGGTGGAATCTTGATGCCGAAGCAGTGGAGACCATGTGTGGCAGCCTGGTTAGCCGTGGCTAAGGTGGTGAAGGATATCTTCATGGTGGGGCGCTTGTCGTCGTCGGTATCGGTGCTGCAGAATATAATATCGAATACCCGCAGGTTCGGGTTTTCTTCCTCGATGTTGGTAATGATCTTCGTTTGTTCTCGGTCCGCGATCCAGCGGCTGGTCCCGCTGACAAAGACTGTTCGGTCGGCGGTGTACTGACGTGGGAAGAGAAGACAGAGGTGGTGCACTTGGCGAAGTGTGCGATCGAATTTTGAGTGTTTTGAGATCCTCCACACACGAGAAATAGAGCAAAATATTCTCCACTTCTTGACTAAGGTCGATGGGTGTAATGCCGGCGCCTTCTTTTAGGATCTTCAAGACGTCGTTTTTGGTGAAAGCCTGGCCGTCCAAGGGGCGAGTCCTGACTTTTAGGCGTTTGTGGCGCATTGTCGTTTTTAGAACCCCCCATCCCCCGCCCCAACGGGTCGCAGTGGCGATGAATACCTTGTGAAGTTACAGAGGCTTGCTGGCGTGGCCCGGGTGTGTGTGTGTGTGTCACCAGTGAGGGGTGGGGCTGGTGGCATGTCACCAGTGAGGGGGGGGCTGGTGGCATGTCACCAGTGAGGGGGGGGGGCTGGTGGCATGTCACCAGGGGGGGGGGCTGGTGGCATGTCAC